CCAACAGCACAACACCAGGACTCCATATATATAAATACTTTTTTTTTTTTTTTTAAGTCCATTTTCTTAATTTAGATAAATGGCTTTTAAGAAGTTTTCTTTCACTATCATAAGAAACTGCCATGACCTGCCATAAATAGAATGTGAAGTGAAATACAACAAAAATAAATTACTTGCTCGGTACTGTGATTTGCTTTGGTAGCGTAGTGGTTATGAATTGGGCTGCAAACCTCAAGGTCAACAGTTCGAAATTACCAGCAGTTCCATGGGAGAAAGATGAGGCGTTCTGCTCCCGTAAAGATTTACAACCTCGGAAATCATGTATAGGGTTGCTATGACTTGGAACCAACTCCAGGGTACTTAACAACAACAACAACAACTAAGTACAAGGTTGGTGGTTCAAGCCCACTAGCTGATCCTCAGAAACCTTATACAGGGTCACTATGAATGAGAATCGACTCCACGGTACTTAACAACAACAACTGTGACTGAAAATTCTGAACCCAACAAGTGCTACCTCTGTTCAAAGGGGAGAAGTCAAAGACTTCTAACCAGAAAGGGAAACTTTTAGTACTAACTCAATATGAGTTCATTTTCAAGAGTGCAGTGTCTTTAAACTCCTTCAGCCTGAGTTGAGCTGAATTCTCCCCTGTTAAAACCCTCATTCTGAGTCACTGATTTTGCAACTGCTTGTTGAGCACCTACAACTTGCAAAGTAGATGCAACACGTGGTCAAAAGACACGAGACACAGGGTCCCTCTGCTAATAAGTAAAAAGATACGACATAAAAAAATTGATAAAGCATTGCATAGTAGTAGTTAGTATTAGGAGCCTGAATGGCACAGTGGTTAAGTATTAAACTACTAACTTAAAAGTTGTCACTTCAAACCCACCCCAAAGACACCTTGAAAGTGAGGCCTGGGGATCTGCTTCCACAAGGAAACAGTTCTGCTATGTTCACATGGCACCTTCATGAGTCAGGATAGACTCCACGACAGCTAACAATGCTTGCAAGCTACTCGAAAGCAGATGCTTGGTTCTGTTGTCCCAGCCTAATAATTCACCTTTGTTTCCACTATCTGCCGAATTCCGCCCTCTGCTCCAGACTTATATCCTCCCTTATAGGAGCTGTGGTAGCGTAGTGTTTACAAATCAGGCTGCTAAACTCAAGGTCGGCCATTCGTAACTACCAGCTGCTCTGTGGGAGAAAGATGAGGCTTTTTGCTCCCATAAAGATTGACTGCCTCGGAAACCCTGTTCAGGGTCGCTATGGGTTGGAACCGACTCGACGGCACATAACAACAACAACATATACTGTGACACTGAAGGAGTGGCAGAGGAGGAGCAGCAGTAGCAGAACCAAAACCCCAGAGTAGGACAGAATAGTGGGCTTCCTAGCCTATGGAGCAGGTAGAACTGAGTGACTCTGGGCAGGAGGCATGCTTGCAGAGTGGGGATACCTCCAAGCATTTAATTTGGGGACCAGGCACAGAGCTAGTACCTTCAGCTGAGGCATATGGTGGAGTGGTGTGAACTGTAGGCATTTATCAGAAGCTTGAAAGCTTTATAACATTGACTGGGCAGAGAGGTCTGCCAAGCTGCAAAAACTCTGACACCAAACCATTCCTCGTATAGTGCTCTTCTTACTAAGCTGGGTTCAGGCATTCACTTCAGTGGCCACAAAGAACTCAGAAGCCAAATCCACAGTTCTGGGGTTTGCTAAGGAAGTTAACAGGTTACAGTTGAGGTCAGAAGTGCTCAGGGCACCATTATTCCAGTCTGGATAGCCTCTCAGTTGTGTGTACTCTAGGCTAGAATAAAAATCCCCTGTGGTAGAGGATTATTGTCTGCTCCATATCATTGATAAGGATAAAGGTCCTAAACCCAAAATTGTTTTCTGAAGGCAGAACATAGTCCATGCAATAAAAAGGGTGGGGACTTCACAACAATTACATACGGACTCCAGTAATAATTGTTAAGTACCATCGAGTCAGTTCCGACTCGTAACAACCCTGGATAAGGTTTCCAAGGCTGTATATCTTTGCAGGAGTACAAAGCCTTGTCTTTCTCCCATGAAGCAGCTGGTAGGTTCAGAACACCAACTTTGTGGTTTGCAGACCCGTACTTATCCTACAGAGCCACCATACTTAGGGTCCATATGGAAGATGTATGTTTCTAATAAAGTGATTGGATTATTATTACAAACTACTTGCCAACTGTAGAATTCATATTGGATATATAATTAAGGAAATAGAAACACAGGAAGTATTTTTTTCTCTTTTGATAACTATTATCACTCATCAGTAAATGACTAAGAGATTTAGATTTCTTCACATCTTATACCAACAGACATTCTGGCTTCTTTCTAAAGGGAGTTTCTCTAAAGATAAAAGTGTAGGCAGTTTTCCTAGGACGATTAAACTGACTTGAAAGCAATCTTTGAAACCTTACCAGTTCTGACTTCTCCAAAATAAAAATGGTGGTGTAGAGTCAAGTTTCTGTAAACTCATTAAAAGTGAAACGATGCCTCCTGAGTGTTGCCATGCATGTCTCATTGTTCTTTAGGTCTGCTCACTTTGAGTTGGAATACCATTTTGCTCCCTTAGGCAAAATGATGGTTAATTTGCCATCATTACATTTGTGTAATTGAAATCAAGTGTGTTTCTTACACACTTCACGGGTAAGAAATGGAAAAGATCTGTAAATTAGTAGTATATGGCTTCAGGGTACCGATTTTTTGCTGATTGGTCTTCATGCTTAAGTATTCTCTTACAGAAGCTATTTCTCTTACCTGGGTAGATGAGAGAATTTATGAATTAGGTTATGTGTCCAGAAGTTTCACCTCACAAGTCATTAAAATTCATTCATGAACATTCTTAGAGGTAGGTTTCCCTGATAGGTAGAGTTGGGATCTTTAGTCTTTCATTTTCTCTCTCTTAAATTTTCTTCCTAAATATAGTCTTAATCTAGAGGGGAAATGGCCTTTCTTATTACTTATGTTAGGATATTAGTTATATTGTAATATCCCTTTTAAAATAAAAGGAGTCCTGGTGTGGCGCTGAAGGTTAATGCGCTGGACCTCAAGGTCAGTTTGAACCGCAGGGACGGGCTGTTCAAGCTCACCAGCCACTCCTCGGAATCCCTATACAAGTTTTTTATGAGTCGGAATCGACTCAACGGCACTTAAAAAACATGATTCCTCTTACTGGTTTTACTGGTGGCATATTTTCCATCTGAATAATTAAAAATGAAACTTGATACTCTTGAGATTATGATAATGACTTTATTTTTCTAATCTTGTCTCATTTTTTGCACTGCAAACATTTCTGCATGTTTTACTACTGCTTAATAACTCTTGCTAAAACTTGACTGTTACAGTCAAGACTTATTTTATATTTATGTGTTCATTTACTCATTCTACAAGTATTTATTGCCTACTCTGAGTCAAGAAATGAGTCCTGATTGCTCCATGGGTTAAGCATTGGGCTATTAACTGCAAGGTTAGCAGCTTAGACAACTACCAGCCACTCGTAGGGAGAAAGATGAGGCTGCCTGCGTCCATAAAGATTTACAGTCTGGGAAATCCTATACAGGAGCAAGAGTAGGAGATTTGCTTCTGAGCCAGGATACCTCCAGCGAGCCAACTCTGCATGTTCTCCACAACCTGCTTTCTTCCTACGCATCCATCCGGAAGTTCATCCCTAGTTCCTAGACTTTGCTTTTATATACACTGTATTATCTCGTCATGGTCTTTTGACATACCCACCCCTTCCTTCAAATACTCTTAGAAAAATATCTAGTCACTTATATTGACGTTAGATTTAAGTCATTTTTTACCTCTCATAGACATTTGATTTGTGATTGTCTCTCGCACATGCACTCTCTCTCTCTCTCTCTCTCTCAGTGTGAATGAAAAGCTATCCCTTTTCTAAGAATTTCAACATTAATTGTATTGGAAGTATTTTGGAGGCAGAGTGCCCCCTGCTGGTATGTGTGAAATAATATCAAGTGAATGGGCCACTGCTCTTCTACTCAGCTTCACACTGTCCATTCTCCTCCCAGCGGTAGTGGTATAGCTGCCACTCCCCCTGCCTAAACGGTCTGTACTTCTTGCCCACAGTGTTCCATTCAACCATATTCTTCTTCCTAAAGTTTCTTTTTCTATGTCTGCTATCATTTATTTTCATTTTATGCATTCTTTTAATATATTTAGTTCCCATCACTGAGGTTGACACTTAATTACCCTGTTCCAGTTGGCTTATTTCCATTTCTCAAACTCTAGTTTATTCTTCAAAAACACTGATCCTGTCATCTTCCAATATTCTATTTAGTTGTTACCTAACAAAGAGACACTGCTAGCATTCAACCAACCCTAGACATGAGAGCATGCTAGATCATATGTTAGTGTTTATAATGTAGCTAACAGCAATGAAAGAACTCATCCTTCATTGTTGTTGTTAAGTGATGTCGAGTCGGTTCTGACTTATAACAACCCTGTATGGGGTTTCTGAGGAGCGGTTGGTAAGTCAGAAGAGAAGAAATGTCTGACTCAAACCTGTTAAATCAAGTCTGACCCTATAGGGAAAGACAGGACAGCCACCCCTTGGGGACTTCAAGACTGTAAATCTTTATGGAACCACATTGTCACATCATTCTCCCATGTAGTAGTGGCTGGTGGGTTTGAACTGCTGATCTTTTGATGAGCAGCTGAGAGTTTAACCATTATACCACCAGCTTCTTCCATCATTTATTTTTAATGGAGAAAGCCTTTTCTTTCTCTCTCTCTAAATGCTTATGTTGTTGTTGTTGTTAAGTGCCATTGAGTCGGGTCCGACCCATAGCGACCCTGTACAGGGTTTCCGAGGGTGTAAATCTTGACGGGAGTAGAAAGCCTCATCTTTCTCCCGCGGAGCGGCTGGTAGTTTCGAACCGCTGACCTTAAGGTTCACAGCCCGAAATGCTTATATCTGAAAAAAATTCTGATTTTTACTTCTTAACAGGTGGTTTGTTCTGGATGCAGAAACCAGAGATCTAGTCTCTATCCACACAGATGGAAATGAACAGCTCTCTGTGATGCGCTACTCAGTAGGTAGGCAAGTTTCCCACCCGTCCTGGCTTTCCCAGCACTTTACTGCAATTGCATGTTTCTACTTTGATAAGTTACTCCCCCCCCCCATCTCTAGAGTCGTTAAATATCAAATATGTGTTCCCCAACATGAGATTAAAATTTGCTGCAGAAAACTGCAAAAAACTGCTACAGTTAAACAACATTCTAACTCATCAGGCAAACTTAAATTTAGAACAGACTTTTACAACTGCTGTTGCAACTGCAAGCAATCAAGTACTTCTTGTGACCTGTACATGCTTAGGATTGTGAGTTAGGCCTTAGGCTGATGGTAAGTCTACTTAGCAACCTTTTCTAAGTGTATTTATTGTTGTTGTAGGTGCCGTCAAGTCAGTTCTGACTCATCATAGCTGGTGTGCTTAAAAGAATATAAAAATTATTAATATTCAAAAATGTACAAGTTTTAAATCTTTATGTAAAATTGTATAGGTCTTTGTCTTCAGAATCAATTTTTATTGTTACTGTTTACATAGTAATGACTGATAATGCTAGATATTCTGTTTACCTTTTCCCCTTATTAATAAGGCTTTTAGTCACACAATTTTCCCTAGAGTTAGCCAGAGTATCATATTTGAGGGTGTGTTCTAATAGTTTTGAGTCCGCAGAGGCTCCAAGAATGGAAAAGTATTCACTTCAAACTATACACCTGGCAGGAGTTATCTTTAAGCAGAAAGTTACTCTGTTTTGTTTGTTGTTTGTTTTGGTTTGATGCTTTAGTACTGTAGTAGCAAATAACCAGTGCTACACATATAGCAATTGAAATCCAAAGATGAAGTGGCCCTTAACTGACTACCTGTTATGTGCTAGCACTGTGGTAGTACAGTGGTGGACACCGTAAAAGAAGAGGCCACTATCCCTGACCAGCTACCAGCTACCCTTGTATTTGGAAAGGCCGTATATACTCAGCTTGCTAGAGGGATATTTTTGTGCTTGTGCCCATAAAAGCTGATTAATGTCTCTGTTCACTTGCTTCTGAATCCAAGGGCCAGTTTTTAGCTATCAACAAGGACTGAGGGTAGGGCCCAAGGCCTGTGAGCTTCTCTAAAAGAACACTGTCTAGGGGACTGGATGACCACTTGTTTTCAAAAGTCTGCCTAGTGATGAGAGATGGAAAATAATTCATCCTCCAAATGGGAAATAACAGTCAAAATTGATAAGATTTAACAACACTTGTAAAATAGCTTTTGGTGTAGGTCTACTGAAATGATAGGACATAGATCTATCGATGTATCTTTCTATTCAACAGATTTTCCTGTTTCATTCTAGATGGTACCTTCCTGGCTGTAGGATCTCATGACAACTTTATTTACCTCTATATAGTCACAGAAAATGGAAGAAAATATAGCAGATATGGAAAGTGCACTGTAAGTAGTGAAGTGTTAAAGTTTTATATTTAAAGGGGAATTAAGTGTTGTTTTAGTTTCCTATGGTTGCTCTAACAAGTTACTACAAACTTGGTGGCTTAAAACTACAAATTTATCCCCTCATAGTTCTGAAAGCTTGAAGTCTAAAAACCAAGGTTTTAGCATGACCATGCCATCTCTGAAGGCTCTAGTTAAGAACACTTCCTCTCTTCTTCTATCTTAACTTCTGATTATTGCCAGCAACCTCAACATTCCTTAGTTTGTATATGTATCACTCCGGTCTCTGTCTCCATAGTCACATAGAATTTTTTCCTGTGTGTCTCTCTTCTTCTCAGGCCACCAGTCACATTGGATCAAGGGCCCACCCTAATCCAATTAAGGTCTCATCTTAATTTAACTGCTTATGTCTAAAAAGACCCTGTTTTCCAAATAAAGGTCACATTCTCAGGCTCCAGGTAGATACAAATTTGGAAAAGGGGGAAACACTGTCAAACCCATTACAGATATCTACATTTACATACCCATTTCTTTAAACTTTAATCTTTATCTTTGAAAACCTAGATATTTAAGTTAACTAAAGTACCTGACAGCAGAATGTTCCAGCTCCCTGTGTACTTTTTAGAAAGAAGTCTCCTTCTGATGAGAGTTTAATATTTATCATTCTCTGACTAGGTTCAAGGTGGTTTTTATGCATTGAAGCTAGACTTACAGGAAACTTTTAGGCTACCTTTTTTTTTTAATTGAGTAAAATATTAAAATGTGTCTCACATTTTTTATTTCAAAGTGTCATGACCCTGTCCACCCCCAGCAATATTCAATATCATCTCTCTACCACTAAAATAAAATAGTTTATGTAGACATTTGTCTGCATTTAAGAGCGTTAACAGGAGAGCCTGTGTCTTTTTCACTTGATAAAATTATCATTAGGGTGCAGATTAGGTCCAGTTCTGCAGACGCACTAAATAATCACTGTATGAACAGTACTCTGCTAGACACTAGAGAAATGTTCTAGGTACTGGAATCATATGTGAAATTTGTTCCTTGTCCTCAAGAAATAAATACTCAAAATGAGGACAGAATGGGAAAGTTAAGCAGCATTGCTTAGTCATCCAAGGGCCAGCTGTATTGACTGCCTGGATGTGAGTAAATGCCGACTTCACCACTTACAGGCTAGTGTTACGTTACACAAGTTCTTTAAAGCTTCTACTTTCTCATCTATAAAATAAGAGAAGTCTCTGCTTCACAGGGTTGAAATTAATTCCTATATGTAAAGTTCTTTGGGAAGCCCTGGTAGCATAGTGGTGACGCATTGGACTCTTAACCACAAAGTCAGCAGTTCGAGTTCACCATGTGCTACATGGGAGATAGATGAGGCTTTCTGACCCTGTAAAGATTTCCAGTTTGGGAAACCCTGTACAGGGTCTCTAGGACTCAGAATCACCTCCATGACATATCACCACCACCACAAGTCAAGTTCTTAGAATGCTGTTAAAGTGCTGAGGAGTGGCTGGTGGGTTTGAATCACTGACCTTGCAGTTAACAGTCCAGTGCTTATCCTATGGCACCCCACCAGGACTCCACTTCTTAGAATGTTGTTGTTTCTGACCCATAGTAACCCTACGGACAACAGAACAAAACACCACCTGCTCCTGCACCCTCCTCATAATTGCTGCTGCCACTGGGCCAGTCCATCTCATTGGAGGGCTCTTCTTCTTTTAGTATTTGGCACATAATTAGTACTCAATAAATACTGTCAGGAGGGACAAGTCGCTGGAGAAGCATATCATGTTCAGTAAGGTGGAGGGTCAAAGAAAAAGAGAATACCCCCAACGAGATGGATTGGCCAAGTGGCAGCATCGATGGACTCAAGCGTGGCAACAGTAGTGAGGTTGGCCCAGGATCAGGTAGTGCAAAAGGTTGCTATGAGTCAGTACCAACTTGACACCTAACAACAACAAATAAATATTCACTATTATTCTAATAAAAAAAAATAATAAAGTAGCTTGATATGTTTGTTAGGAAATGAATTTAGGAATACCAAATCATTTGATGAATTAGTGACACAGATTCTTTAACATTGTTTTCATCACAAAAATAATTAGTTTTAGGAGAATGATTAAAAAATTAGTTTTAGAAGCATATACATCTATCTATACAGGGTTGCTATGAGTCAGAACCAATTTGATGACATGTAACAACATCCAATGATAAATTTTCATGTGAGTCTGAAATGTATTTGCTTACTATGTATAAGCAAAAACCTGACCATTTACTATTGGAAAAACCTTGTGGAGACCATGTCTGACTTTCCCTGACTTCACAAAGAGGAAAGAAAATCAAACTCAAAATCAGCCCAAAGCTGATTCTTATGAAGCAGAGGTCAGACATGCTTCCGCCCTACACCCTTCACTCTTTTCCGACACCAGCCACCCCTCCCACAGCACTCTCTGCTTTACCTCTGGGTTCGATAATCCATTGCAATGGCCACACAGAACTCATAATAATACTCAGGATTATGAGGTTTATTAGTGAACTGAACAGAATATAATTCAGGATCAAAAAACAACTGAAGACTCAATGCCCCTTCCCTCCTGACTGCCGACACACCTCACTCTTACGTGTGGCTCCTTAGCCCCAGTCCATGGGCCTAGAGCCCACAGCTGCTCTGTCTCTCCATTCTGCCATCGCCTCTGCTGTTACAGCTTTTCTAGGTAGGGATCTCACACTCCACTCATGCTCATCCTTCTTGATGGTCCTGGTATTTTCCATTCCTGCTTCTGAGATGATTCCCTTTAATTCTATCTGGATGACAAAACTAACCAATCCCCAGTCTTAGAGTTCTGTATACCTTATTTGCATGGTCCCACTCAATCACTGGAGTCCTAGTGCGGCGCTGTGGGTTAATGCGCCAGACTACAAAGCTGTTTGAACTGCAAGGTTGGCAGTCCAAGCTCACCAGCTGCTCCTTGGAAACCCTATATAGGGTTGCAACTGACTGACGGCACTTAACAACAACAACCCAATCACTTGGAATCCTGGTGTGGCAAGTTAGGGATAAGCACTGGCAAGTTAGGGAAAGTCAGTTTGAACTTCAAGTCAGTGGTTCAAACTCATGAGCTGCTCCTCGGAAAGCCTATACAGGGTTCCTATGAGTCAGAACCAACTCAATGGCACTTATAACAACAACAACCCAATCACTTAGTGGGAATTAAGACATTGGATAGAAGAGTCATATCAAATAAATTCACATACCAACTATTCAAGAAAGAGATTTATATGTGTTCTCTTTTGCATATTATGCTTATATCACCATATACTGAATCTAGCCCATGTATAAACTGATCTACATGCAACCTCTACATTGTAAAATTTACCCAAAATACTTTTGTATACCTTGACCACCATTATTAATCATAATCCAGTGATTAATTTAAGTCCATTTCTAATTTGTTTCCATACCAAATTGTGATACGGAATAGCACACATTGCCTTGTTATGCAGCATGATCAAAGGTAATATCCTGCTGAGGAATTTACAGATTACTCAAGTTTATTATAGAAGGCACCACATTTTTATACTTAATCTCAGTCTTTTCAAGGACTCTTCATGTGGCATTGTAGGATCAGCCCTGGACTGCTATCCTCTTCGTCTACAATTCTTGTCTTAATGAGCCAAGTATCTTCAATATGATATAATCTTACAGAACCATAAAGATTTTTCAGGTGGTATAAACTGTTACATGCCACTGAGTTGGTTCTAACTCATAATAACCCTGTATAGGGTTTCCAAGGAGTGACTAGTGGGTTTGAACCACGAACCTTGTGGTTCAGTACTTATCGTACAATGCCACACCAGGACTCACTCACATAATTCTCTTCATCTGCACAGCCTTTGTTCTGCAGATGAAGAGAAGTCACACTTTCTCCTTGGCCACACCGTGACTTCCTGGGTAGATCCAGGACATGACCCAGATCTGACTGGGCAGAGCAAGCTTTCTGTACCATGTACAGTCAGTAATGCCTCAGAGATCTCAGTGTGCATACTACAGTGCTGTGCTGTTACTGTAATCTAGCTGCTCAAGAAAGGAAACAGATAGTTTGAAACCGTGAATTGCACAGTTGTTCAAACAAACAAAAGAAATAATCTATGGTGGTTATCAGGGTGTTGGGGGAGAGAAAATTATTCATGGGCTAGAGAGCAGGAGCAGAGCAGATAATATACAAGAGGGAGGTTGGCAGATGAAAGCTGAATGTAGCAGGAGACACAGGGAGGAATGAGATCAATAAAGTGAATAGAGGTAAATGCTGTTAAGTGCTTACGTAGAAGGGACTGCAAACATGCAATGATCTGTTCAATGTAAAAGTGATGGATCTGCTCTGTAAACCTTCACTCAACTCACAATGAAAAGTTAAAGAAAAAGGAAAGGAAACAGAGTAGTGTGTGATGTGGAGTCATCAGGATGACCTTGGGAGTGTTGCGAAAGAGTAAATCTATCAATTTCATAAGACCTGGCCTTATATCCAATTAGGCAGCTTCTGTCTTTAGTGTTTGAAAGTATTATTTGGAAATACCCCTAAAAATGGTTCAAGTTTGAGAGCTGTTTGAGGCTATAAAGAAAGGTTCAACTAGTGTGCTTGGTGATTTGCTTCCAGTTGTCTTCTTGCCGCCTGCTTCCACCATCTGGTCTTACAGTCTTATTTTAACTGCTTTTATCTGCTGTCTGCTGTGGTGTAGGACCGACAAAATGGATTAATGCTGGCTTTGCTGCTTACTAGTTTGTGACTTCAAGCAAGTTAATTAACGTGATTTCTTAATTGTATTATCGTAAAATGAGGGATAATAAAAGATCCTACTTTATAGGATTGTTATGGAGATTGTTGTTAAGTCAGTTCTGATATAAATCATTACCTTTGATAGCATTAGCAGTACTATTCACACGTACCTCCCTTAAAGAACTATGTGAAGAGCGAATGAGCATGTTTTCTGCTGAAGTTGCTTTTATGCTTGCTGCGGGTGTATGGCAAAGGCTACCTTCTCACACAAATTTCTTTACTGCACCTCTCTGGTCCTTGACCATCTCCTTGAAGAAACTATCCACCAGGAAATGATTTGGTAATTGAGAGGCTGACCACTCCAGACTGGCTGAGGGATGTAAGGGGATAGGAGAGGTAGAATGGAGCCAGCTTATGTACTATCTATGGCAGCCTGTATTTCCTCTTTTGCCTTCTCACTTCCTGTGTTTGCTTCTGGGAGCGCACTGTCTTCCTGCTGTCGTTGGGCTCTCCGCTGCTCTGGCAGCACATACTCCAAGCCTGCCTAACCTCATCTGTGGCATTGTGTTCTTCTCAATTCTCACATACCTTTCAGAACTTATCTACCTTTTTTGTTGTTGCCTGCTCTGAGAATTTCCATCTTCTTGTTTAGCAGATGGTGGGAAGAGTAGTATGAGTCTCGATGGTCTCGTGTGTCTATACTGCGTAAGCAGCCTGGTTTTATAACTGCCGCTGTAGAAAGATTTTGGAGTCAGCACATCTTTTTAACTTTTCTCTTGCAAAGCGCTAGAATTGGTAGGTGTACTGGACTGGTGTGGATCTAATTTTATTTGCTTTACATTTGGACTTCTCAAGATTTAATAGGACAGCAAGGTTTTATAGTTAAAAGCATGTGAAAACTACTCTAGTGCAGAGGGTGGGAGGTTTTAGTTTTGTTACTTTCAACACAGTGTGTTTCTTTACTTCAGCTTTTCTTGTACTAGGAATATTTTGAAAATGTACTAGAAAGGATCTTGCTTACTTAGAAACTCCTTGTCTTAAAACGGTACTTTTCAGTTACCTCTACTTTGATATTACAGAAATGAGTAAAAGATTGTTGTTGTTATTGTTGCTAAGTGTCATCAAGTTGGTTCCGACCCATAGCCACCCGTTATAGGGTTTCCCAGGAGTGACTGGTGAATTTGAACCACCGACCTTGCAATGTAGCCGGTCCAGCGCATTAACCCACAGTGTCACGTATGCCTTAAATGCAGTGCTGACTTTGATCCGGAATCATCTGAGCTGTGTTTCAGACTTGACTCCACCGGTTCTTAGTTATATGACTTCAGGAATTACTTAACCTCTCTGTGCCTCCTAAATTTCCTCACCTTTTAAGCGGGCCTCCTCATTAAAGTTGCTATGAGATGTATATCTGATAATGTATGCAAATTACTTAAACAGTGTCCCGTACATAGAAAAATATGTGATTCTGACTCAAGACATGATTCTAACTTATGTTATTGTTAAGTGCTGTTAAGTCATTTCTGACTCATGGTGACCCCAGATAGGGTTTCTGAGGTTGTAAATCTTTATGAGAGCAAAAAGCCTCATCTTTCTTCAGTGAAGCAAATAGTGTATTTGAACCGCCGATTTGTGGCAGCCCAACACCTAAATCACACCCCCATCAGGGATCCTCAAATAGAAGTACTCGGTGAATATTAGGTATTATTACTATATATTACTCTCAGTAACTGGATGAATCCTGGCTTGTAAAGTCTCCCCAGTTTATTATAATATCCAGCCAGGATTGCAAACTTCTGATTTAAATGATGGTAGCCCAGAGTCCTGGTGTGGTGCTGTGGGTTAATGCATCAGACTGCAAAGCCATTTGAACTGCAAAGTCAGCGGTTCAAGCTCACCAGCTGCTCCTCGGAAACCCTACATAGGGTCCTTATGGGCTGGAATTGACTCAGTGGCACTAACAACAACAATCCGTAGTCACAGTAATTTATCCTGAGAGTTCTTCCCTCAGAGTAGTAGTCTTGGGCGCCATCATTTACTGTGGTCACTCCACTGACTACTTAACAGCAGTAATGAAAGTACCAGCTTAGAATATGTTAGTATCTTTTCAAGAAGATATAATTTTACTCCTGTGTTTTTGCCCATGGGGTGAAGTTTGAGGTATTTCTGTTCCAAGATTATGCAAAGACCTGTAGGTCTGTGAATTGGGTCTGACCTCAAAGGACACTAAGATAGTAACATCATAAACCCCAACAATACAGTTAATCTTTTCTTTCTTGTTTACATCCATACCAGGAAAATATAATATTCACATTATTTCCCAATATGACTTCATAGCTTCCCCAAGGCCTTTCCTAAATCTGAGAATTTTTCCTAGTCAGGAGTCCTTTTTGAGAATACTTTATGTTGATTTGTCTTCTGAACACATTTTCTAACCCACACAAATGTGAGTTACATGAATATAATGTATGAGGGGGACTTTTAAAAAGATTTGTGGAAAAATGGAATTAAAAAATAATGGAATTTTTCCATATATATGTATGCATGTGTGAGGAGTTCTAGTAGCATAATGATTACAAGTTGGGCTGCTAACCTCAAGGTCAGCAATTTGAAACAACCAGCTTTTCCATGTGAATGATGAGGCTTTCTGCTCTCGTAAAGATTTACAGCCTTGAAACCCTGTACAGAGTTGCTGTGAGTCGGAACCGACTCCATGGCACACCACCACCACATATATGTGTATATAATATACACACACATTGAGAATACTTCGTTTTATATATATTGAGAATGCCACTATGCTACCAGAGCTCCTTATGAATCGAGCTGTGAACCACAAGATCAGCAGATCGAAACTACCAGCTGTTCTACGGGAGAAAGATAAGGCTTTCTGCTCCCGTAAAGATTTACAGTCTCGGAAACCCTGTACAGGGTCGCAGTAAGTTGGATGTGACTCCATGGCACATCACCACCACCATCAAATATATATATATATATATGTTGTTGAGTGCTTTTGAGCTGGTTCCAACACATAATGACCTTGTATAAGGTGTCCGAGGAGCGGCTGGTGAGCTTGAACCCAGTGACCGTGCAGTTCAAATGATTTGGCAGCCCAGCACATTAACCCACAGCACCACACCCAGAGTCATGTACTCTTTTAAGTTTGCTTTTAAAGACTTTTCACAGTGATTCAGATAATATTTTAAGTACTTCTCCATTGTTAGCCTGCTTAAATTCTGCCTGAGTTCTCCAGACCGCAGAGGCAGGCATTAGATTCATGTCCTGCCAGACTCAGAAAGTACCTAGTCACCACACAGGTCTTGTTGGCCCTAAAAATTGATTACTTTTCAAGTTGGTGTGTGCCTAGAAATGATGTCCAACCTGTTTTCCAGTATACCACTTTACCAGTCGTTATTTCAGGAAGCCTCAGAATTCTCAGTTCCACAGACCTGTCATTCATTTAGCTGTGGTGGAGTGCATAACTCCAAAAAGGTTTTAGGGCACAGCATTAGATTCCATAGGATACTGGAACAATAGGGTTACCTGTGTAAATCTTAAAAGTTATACCTAAAGGACACAAATTTATTAACTTAAAAAATGAAATCATGAGCAGAAAACGAATAATTTTAAAAGTACCATAGATGAAATTGTATTTTATCAGGCTTTAGGAGATAAAAGTGAATGCCTAAAATGTCTTGGTGATCCATTGTTGTTCTTAAGTGCCATCAAGTCGGTTCCAACTCATAGCTACCCTATATAAGGCTTCCGAGCAGTTGGTGGGTTTGAACTGCCAACCTTGTGGTTTGCAGTCCAGTGCTGATCCTACAGCACCATATCGGGACCCCATAAACCTGTGTAATTTATTTGAGTTAGTCTGTGGGGAGATCATAAAATGCTTACATGTAAAGTCAACAAAAGCTTAACATTCAGTAGTTTGTTTTGTTTTTTTAATCCCACAAAGTTAGTAAAACTTGAGCAGATCACAGTGGTCCTGTTTCCAACATAGTCCAATGATTATGTTGGGCCTAGATGGCCATTCTGAAAGAGTCCTGGTGTGCTACTATAGGATAAGTACTGGACTGCTAACCACAAGGTCAGTAGTTCAGTCCCACCAGCTGCTTCCCAGAAATCCTATACAGACAGCGTCAATTATGAATCAGAATGAACCTAGGTAGCACCTAACAGTTGCTCTGATGGAGTACACTGTTGAGTGACTTACCCCCCAGAGCATTGAGATTTCCACATGTCCAAATACTTGTGCCGGATCCCTCAGCCCCTGAGCATAAGGGAGCCTGGGAAAACTACTCTGTGTACACAACCTGGAATACTTCATTCTCAAAAGTAGACTCACTCTAATGGACACCAGTGACTTGAAATAAGGCCTCAGGGTGTAGGATTTGTTGTAGTGTCTTAGTCCTCTCAGTGGTGGTGGTGTGCCGTGGCGTCTGTTCTGATTCATAGTGACCCTATATAGGGTTTCAGAGACTTCTGCCCTTTGGGATTTGCCAGAAAAATGGGTACTCTAGAAACAGTATTGACAAACTTAGTATTTATAATTCTAAACTCTAAATGCTTTTTAACAATTGCTCCTTTATTCCCTAGGGACATTCCAGCTATATCACACACCTTGACTGGTCTCCAGACAACAAGTTTATAATGTCTAACTCAGGAGACTATGAGATACTATACTGTAAGTGTGAATGTTTACTCACAACTCAGAACTGTCTGTCAGGGGCATTAATGCACAGGCTGCAGGGAATTTGAATTGTGCCAAGAAGGCATGTTGGCCTCTCTAACCTGATAAGGCATATGTTACTCCATGTTAAGTAATGAGAATCTCAAATATGGCTCACTTCTCCAAGAAAGAAATTTGTTCATTTAATGGTATACAACTGAAGGCACATAAATCACTCGTTGAAATTGATGGTTTTTCATATAACAACTTTCTTAGAGGCAGGGAGGAATATAATGGGTGGGCATTTATACTCTAGAGATTTTTTTTTTTTTTTTTTAAAGGCAACTTCAATGGGAAACAGTTTATAATTCTGTAAACCCTGTTAAGAACTAAATGCTTTTTTTCCCTTTTAAATGTTTTACTGTTTTTCCATTGAAAGGGAACATTCCAAATGGCTGCAAGCTGATCAGGAATCGGTCGGAATGCAAGGACACTGATTGGACAACATACACCTGCGTGCTAGGCTTTCATGTCTTCGGTAAGGACCCAGCTCCTGCTGTGACTGAAAACTTTGTGAGATTTCAGACAGTTTTCTACCTGCATTTTTTAAAGAAAAATATCCTTTAGTGCTCACAATTGATGCCAGCTTCAGAGGAATTCAGTGCAATAGAAGTGAATCAAAATGGAATTTATTCTATCCAAAATGCAGTAGGCTTTTGTTGTTGTTATGTGTCATGGAGTCGGTTCCGACTCATAGTGACCCTGTACAGGGTTTCCGAGGCTGTAAATCTTAACGGGAGTAGAGATTTTGGTGCCTAGTAAATATAAAAGATAATAAAAAGTAAAGGTAAAGGAATTTACATAACTGCACAGATTGCTAATACTCAGCTTTCTAATTTTTTCCCTCCAAGTGAAAATCGAAGCTTTTAAACTTACAAGGGCACTTAAACAGTTTTATTTAGATGTATTCTGCATAACATAAAATTCACTCATTCAAAGTATACAATTATTGGCTTCAGTACTTTCACTGGAGTCCTGGTGTAACGCTATAGGGTGTGCACTAGACTGCTAACCATAAGGTCAATGGTTCAAACCCACCATAGCCATGCCTCAGAAACAGGATCACTAGGAGTCAGGACCAACTTGATGACACTTGACAATACTAGCCAGTACCTTCACAGAGGTGTGCAGCTTTAGAACATTCCATCACCCCAAAAAAGAGCCCCTGTGCCCATTAGCAGTCACTCCTTCTTTCTCCTGCAACCAGTCTACTTTCTTCATTAAGGGTTTGATTTTTGGTATTTCATAATGGAATCATAGAATATGTGACCTTTCTTAACTGACTTCATGGGTTCAAGGTTCATCCATGTTGTATATATCAGGACTTCATTTCTCTTAGGGCAGAGTGGGAATCTATTATATATATGTACCACATTTTATGTGTCCATCTACTGATGGCATTCAAGTTGTTTTCCCCTTTTGACAAATCTGAATGTTCTACATTGAACATTAGCAAACAGCTTTCTGCTTCCATTCCTGCTTTCAATTCTTTGGGGCACATACCTAGGAGTAAAATTGCTGGATCATATGGTAGTTTTATGTTTAACTTTCTGATGACTAGCCAGGTTTTTTCCACAGCGGTGGTACCATTTTGTAATCCCACCAGCAGTGCAGCAGATTTGCCTTAAAGCAATACGTTGTTTGATTTCTTGACTGTTGCTCCCGTGAGTGATAGTGGGTCCAAGCAAAATGAGTCTTTGACACTTCGTTCTTTTCTCCATTTATCATGATACTATTTATTGGTCCAATGGTGAAGATTTTTGTAAATATTTTAAGTCCTCTTTCAGCAAGGAAGGTTGTATTTTCATCTTTTCCTTCCTTCTTTTCGTCTTAGTGGCCTTTTGCTTTCTTCCTATATGATGTTCTTGATGTCATTCCACAACTCTCATGGTCTTCTGTCATTAGTGTCTAATACATACACTCTTAATGTCCCACAATTCAAGTCTAGCCTACTAGAGGTCTGTGCTAGTTAGGATGAACATGATATCATCTCCAGTGCCACATTACGATTCAGCATAAGTAAACTTGATCTAAAACATTTCTAGAAAAATTCCATGGGGTAGCATGCATTAGTGGAAACCTTGTATATAGTTCCTTAAGAAAGACTGTCAGCAAGGTCTTCTATGGAAGACAACAGAGAATGTCAGTAGATTCTATGGATCTTCCCTAGGGTTGAATTTGGAGTGTGTTTGCTTGTGTTTTGTACCTTGTGTTATGGGTTTGTTTGTTTTTTTACTGTGAATTGAGTGAAGGTTTATAGAACAGATTAGGTTTTTGTCTTTTGAGGGGGTGTTTTGTAACTTTTTATTATGAAATGAGTGAAGGTTTACAGGTAAGATCACCAGTTTTACATTCAACAAATCATATACCATGTTTCATTGTTGTTAAGTGCCGTCGAGTCAGTTTCGACCCATAGCGACCCTGTACAGGGTTTCCGAGGGTGTAAATCTTTACGGGAGTAGAAAGCCTGATCTTTCTCCCGCGGAGCAGCTGGTAGTTTCGAACCGCTGACCTTAAGGTTCACAACCTGATTCGTAACCACTACGCTACGAGAGCTCCTTATAATCCCCTCCATGTATCATCATGTAACAGTATTTCTCTCTATCTACTTTTGCTTTTTTAAAAAAAAAAAAAAAAAACACTCATATATAATTTACATCTCCAAAGGGCACATTCTGTCTGCCTCCTGGCCACCAGCTCTTAGTCCCTCTATTCCCATGAATCTAGAGTCCTCAAGCTGCTCCTTCTCTCCATGTCCCCATCTCTGCCTCTGTCTCTGGCCTTGCTGCATCTCTGGATAATTCCTACATTCTGCTTCTGTGCTTCTCCCTTGATAGTCCTAGGGTCCTCTGTTTCTGGACTGTAAGATTAACCACTCCCCTGTTTTTGTTACAAAACTTCTACCTTTACAATTTTGACAGTCGCAGTTAGTCGTAATAACAATTATTCACTATTGAATCATACATATCTTATCCCCATCTCTTTTCACCAGACCCATCTAACAAGATGAAAACTATTCAGTGGGGACTCTTTCTTTCCCCCCATACTCTTAAACTAAACTCCCTCTTGAAACCTTGTAAGCCAGTCACTTTGTGCCTTTATTGCCCCCTCATTTTAGGTAGCCAATGTCTAAGTTGCCCATCCCTATCCACCCTGTGTACAAAGGAAATAGCATTGATACTTGATGTGAAGACTCCTTCCCTCTCTGTTAGTATTTAGAGTAACTACCACTCTGAGTATAGGTTAGGTTCATCAAATTGTAGCACTTTACCCTTGTTTCCTTTGTTAAAAAAAAATATTTTTTTTTTTGTAATCTTCCTCTAGTCAAGTTCTGATTATCAAGCCATCGAGGCTAGGTCAAATGGGTACTGTCTGCAAGTTTGGGTGTTCTTGTGCATCTCCCCTCACTTCGTATCAGTTGAATGCTTCACTCTCAGCTCTAGCCCTCTGTGGCTAAGTCCTTGTCCATGGGCTCAGGTGTCACTACACTTTGGACCAACCAACCCTTCCTCTTCTCTCTTTCATCTCCAGGTCAACGGGAGTTAATGGACTGTGGTTGAACTCAGCCCGTTTCTTAATTGCTGCCTTTCCCCTTCTTCTGTTCACCAGTAGACCAATGTGTGGTCGCCAACAAGCTTAAAATCTGCTTTTTTGTGTATTCCCTTTGAGTTTCAGTCTTAGAGGGGAGTTTGTCCTGAAGGCACTTGATTGTTAGCCTTAATGTCTTCCTGGTGAATAGCTTGCTTATTCCTGTAGTAGCCAGTCATGCTGACATTTTTGTTTTGGGTTTTTCTTAATCTTTCTTTGAAGATGTATCTTCTGTCACTCTAGCTGTTCCTGGCTGGTCTGCTTGTCCTTTCTAGTGGGAATGTCCCACCTCATAAGGTTCTGGATGGAACTCAGGCTTCCATCTAAGGTCCACTCTATAAAGGCTTTGCAAGAGACCTATTTCACTGGGCAAGTTGTAGAACCCCTTTTAGGTATTCCAATCAGTTATAGGCTGAATGGGCTTACAAGTTTTCTGTAATCATGTTTCCCAGCATTCCTTTCTATCCTACTCAAGTATCTGTTTTACAGTAGTAGGCAAGGGAAACTAATATTCATAAGACAGTCAAGCATTTTAGTATAATTTCCCCTATTCAAGCTATACCTAGATCCCTGTGTCCCAGAGCCCTGTTGTTACTAGGTTGAGCATGCATCACTGTTTACCTCTGTCCCATTTAGGCCATACAAGCCTGCCTCAGTGTTCCCCTATCTAACCTGTTCTTCCCCTCCTCCCCCTTCATGTATTGCCCTCTCCAACACCCGAACTAAACCCCCTTCTCTAACCCCATTGTTGTGGTTACTTTATATTCCATTAATTCTTCCCTCCATTTAAGACAGTCTATTTTATCCTGTAATCTACCTGAACGTCCCACCACCTGGATCTCTTGTGTTTACCTTCTTATTTTGATCATAGTCTGACCTCCCAGGTCCTGTATTCTTAGAATTTTATTGTGTTCTGGACTCTTACATTTGTCGATTGAGTTCAGGGTGATGCTGCCACATATGTCAGTCTCTGGTTGTTGTCTGTTTTTGTTGCTTCTCAGTCCACAAAACTTCCTTTAACATATTTTCATAAGCAGGGTTGGCTTTGGCAAAATACCTTAGCTTCTGTTTATCCTGGAATGTTTTGATTACACCATCATATTTGATTGACAGCTTTGCTGGGTAGAGGATTCCTGGGTGGCAGTTTTTTCCTTCAGGGTTTTATATATGTCTCCCCATTGCCTTCTTGCCTGCATGGTTTCTGTTGAGAGATCCAAGCTTAATCTGATTTGATTGCCTTTGTATGTTACACTTCTCTTTTCCTTAACTGCTTTCAGGATTCTGTCCTTATCTTTGATTTTGGAGAGCTTGATTATTATGTGTCTTGGTGATTTTCTTTTGGGGTCTATCCTTCCTGGGGTTCGTTGAGCTTCTTGAACGTTTTCTTTTTGCTTTTCAGGATGTTAGAGAAATTTTCTTCCAGAAGCTCTTTAACTATCACTTCTGTGGACTTGTGTGATTCTTCCTGTTCCAGAATGCCGATAATTCTTAAGTTAATCCTCTTCATGTTGTCCAACATGAATCTTAGGCCTTCTTCAGATTTTTTTAATCTTTTTTTTGTATTTGTTCTTCTATCTTAGTCGTGTTGAGAGATTTGTCTTCTAGCTCACTAATTCTGGCTTCTGTCTCATCAATTTGATTCCTTAGCCCTTTCAGTGTTTTATTCATTTCTGATATTCTTTTATTAATCATTTGGACCTCTTTCTGTAGGTTTTGAATTGTTTCAGTGCTCTATCTTTTTTGATTGTTTTTGTAGCACTTTCCTGACTTCTTCCTTATTTCTTTCAACTCCATTTTGTAGTGTTTTGATACATTTTATCATCATTTTTCTGAATTCCTTCTCAGTCATTTCCAAAGCCTGCCCATCTTCCAGTGTAGAGTGTAGGTCTACTTCCAGCTCATTTGTCTTCAGTCATTTTATCTCATTTCTGGACATGTGCAGATATGGTCACCTGCTTCTGTTTGGGGGGCATATTCAGGAGTTATGGCTTTAATACTTAGATGGGTGTGTATTTTGGTATTTTTTACACTTTCTGATTGCCTCCAGGTAGATGTGATCAGGAGATGGGCTTCCTTTTTTACTCTTCTTTCTGAGAAATTTCAAGATACCACTGTTAGTCGTTGTAACTTAACTTTAGGATTTTCAACCTATTTCCTTTTTAGTCTGCCTGTCCCACTTCATAATCCCTGTTCAGGCCTTTTTCCTAGTGATAAACAGTTCAGTGCCAGCTGTGGCTGTTTGGTTTTAAGTGGAAACGGTCACTTTAAATTTCGAAGAGATCTGTGTGCATGTGAAGTAGAACCTTCTGGGGGGTTGGTGTGTCCACTCGCTCAGGCACCCCTATAGTCACCAGAATGGGGGTGTGCAGACAGCGAAAGACTAATGAACAGATACCTTTATCTCCGCAGTTCTGTCAGGCGTCTGTGGCTGCTCTGATCCTTCCCCTGCTTGGTCTCGCCCAAGATGGCAGCTCTGTGAGCAGCTGAGCGTCTCTTGAATTAGAAAGCAATGGATTTCTTGCTTCTGCTACAAATTACCCTAGCTGTAAGCCTTTCAACCTTCTAAATATTCCTTTTTATGTAGTTCACAGTTCTGGGACCATCCCCTGAGCCTGCTTGGTTCGGTATTCTGTGTTGTTGTTGATGGAGCTCTTCACAGTGCTTCCACTCTGTCCGCCATCTTGTTTGTTCTCCAGAACAGATTAGTTTTACATTCAACATATCATATACTTTAATTCAATTTCTCCCCCATGTTCCATCAGCTAACAGTATTTACCTGTGTTCACATTTAACTTTTGCATTCCTCCTTGTGTCTCTCTTGCTACTTTCCTCTTTCCCCTGCCAACCGGATGCCCTGATGTACATTGTTTGACTAATTCCACTCATCATAAAGACCTCCAAGTTCATTTATGTTGTGAGGTGTTCTGCACATTCATCATCATGATTCAACATTGCATAATACCCCATTATATTTAACAAAGTTTAACCATTTTTCTGTTGATCGGCATTTAAGTTGTCTCTATATTTTTGATGTGTCTCTTGTAAACAGCATAATGGATAGTTTCCTTATCCATTCTGTCTGTCTCTGTCTTTTGATTGGTGCATTTAATCCATTTACAATCAATGTAGTTATGGACAGGTATGAATTCACTGCTGTCATTTTGCTCTTTGTGTTTTTTTGTTATGCTTTTGGTTTCTTTGTTCCACATAATTTTTTGTGCTAAGTTCATGTTTGTGGATTTTCATTTGTGTTAGTATTTACTAAATCTTTGAGATTTTTTCTTTTTGAGGTTACCCTGTAATTTCCCCCCCTCCCCCATTTATAACATTCTGTAAATTGCTCCTCTTTGTGGTATCACACATAACTCTTAGGCTTTCTTCAGATTTTTTTCATCCTTTTTTCTGATTGTTTTTCTACCACACTAATATTAAGAGATTTATCTTTAAGCTCACTAATATGGGCGTCCATTGCTTTGCTTTTTCAATGTACCGCACATTTCTGAAATCTTAGTATTCACCTTCTGGATTTCAAATTGCAGGTTTTGTATTATTTCAAAATTTGAATGTATTTTTTTTAAAGTTCTTAAGAGTATTTTCATGATTTCTTCTGAGTTCTTCCTTTTGTGTGAACCAAAATTGTCTCATCTCCAGGGCATTGTGGTGTTACTGTCTTTGTGTTTGGTTGTATATTGATGTATTTTTGAGTACTCACCAACTTTGTCCTGTGCTTCAACTCTCTGTGTTCTGGTGGGTTGGTTTAGAGTGGGCTTAGCTGTTTGTTGTCCAATGAGTGGAGTTGCAGAGGGGTTGTGGCTGGGCTGTATGGGCACCACTGCTGTTTCCTTTCCCATCGTCTGTGTGAATGAATCTGCCTTGCCAGGCCACCATCTGTTGCCATAACTGCTCAGGAAGTTCAAACTAGTCCCACTGTCTGGCCTGCCATTCACTAGTCAGCCTCCCTTCTCTCGTCATCCCTGCTTAGCTTCTCCCTGCAAGCCCCCCCATCCACTTAACCTTTCCTCTGAAGGTCGTAGTTCCAGGACTTTCATTTGTGTCTGTTTCATTCAGTCTTTCATAGCTTTTAAGAGTCCTTGTGTGGTGCTGTGGGTTAATGAGCTGGACTGCAAAGTCAGTTTGAACCACAAGGTCAGTGGTTCAAGCTCACTAGCTGCTCCTCAGAAACCCTACACAGGATTGCTATGGGTCAGAACCGACTCAATGGCACTTAACATCTTTATTGTAGAAAGCCTGTGCAGTGCATCTGCCTAGTCTGCCATTTTGTTGCAGTCTTCTGTTATACAAGTAGCTGATAACTTTCCCTCCAACTAGAAACTTTTTTAAAGGAGCTTATGCAGAGGTTGAGTCCAGCTGAAATGAATTTACTGCTCCACCTGCTGGTTACTATTGAGTATTACTCGAGATCTGTAAGGTTGCGTTTTGAGACCCTTGTTAAGTGCTGTCGGGTGAATTTTCAACTCATGGTGACCCTAAATAGGGTTTCCAAGGAGGAACTGGTAAGTTTATATCAGAGTGCCAGGCTAATTTAGTTTAATTTTATCAGTAGTTAAATTGTATAATAGAAGTCTGTCATTTGAATGAAGTGTACAGCATGGGGTCTGTGAGAATTTTGTAAGAGAAATGTTAGCATCTTAGGGTATAAACTCAGATAGAATTGAATCAGATTCTAAAATCAAATAAACATATATAGCATGGCAGTTCTGTTTTCAGGCTAGCTTTTCTCAAAACCTATCTTTCCATATCCAAGGTGTCTGGCCAGAAGGATCCGATGGAACAGATATCAATGCACTGGTGCGATCCCACAACAGAAAAGTAATAGCTGTTGCTGATGACTTTTGCAAAGTCCATCTGTTTCAGTATCCTTGCTCCAAACCAAAGGTAAGCTCCGTTTAATAGAGGCTGGTATTATACGACCTTTTGTTTTGGGGTCGTTCTATGTTTCTACCAAGAAAGTATTTGTAGAATCTCCGATAACTCTCTCTGATGCTCCTATCTCTGATGCTCCTATGCTGAGAGGACCATGTTTGAACATGTAAGCCAGCCTCATTGTCTTCTCTTTCCTCACTGATGATGAAAAGGGAGCTATAAATTGACAGCTGGTGATGTTTTATTTCCTTTTGCTTATTGTCCAGTTGTTTTTTATTTTGAGATTTTGACACTTATAAATGTCTCCTACCCATTAAAACTTATGGCCAATGATGTCTCCTACCCATTAAAACTTATGGCCAATGAGTCAAATCCAACTCATAGTGACTTTATAGGACAGATTAGAACTGTTCATTAGGGTTCTTTACGGAAGTAGACCACTGGTCTTTCTCCCATGGAGCAGCTGGTGAGTTCAAACTGACCACCTTTCTATTAGCACTTAACTACTGCCACTAGCACTTCTTAAATCTCTTCTAAGTATATTAAAATATTTTATTTGTTTGACAAACAGCACTATAGTACTTTAAAAAAAAAAAAATCTGTTTCCTGAATCACCTATAACCTTGCCAACCTAGAGTAAACTCTCAGCTCTAGCTGTCCCAGCAGAACTTAGTAAGTTTGTACCAAGCCAACGCTGAGAAAAAGACTTTGTTATTTTTTCAGACATATAGTCTGAGATGGCAGATGTGTTTTGTTTCTCCTATATTATTGTTAAGTGCCTTCAAGTTGGTTCCAACTCAAAGCGATCCTGTATAGGGTTTCCAAAGAGCAGCTGGTGGATTTGAACTGCCAGCCTTGTAGTTCACAGTCCAGTTCTCATCCTCAGCCCCATACCAGAAGTCTGCTTCACCTATATAAGTAGGCATTAAAAGGAAATTAAAGCTAGCTCTCTTCCTCATATTTGATTATTGGTAGCTTTTATGTGAATTATGTGTTCCACCCACCGAATGAGCTCCCCCAATCCTCCTCCATTGCTGTGCACAGACCTGTAGAGAGTGAGCTGAGTCTGCCTTTGTCTGCTTTACTTCCTGTAGGCACCCAGTCACAAGTACAGTGCCCACAGCAGCCATGTCACCAATGTCAGTTTTACTCATAACGACAGTCATCTGATTTCAACTGGTGGCAAAGACATGAGTATCATTCAATGGAAGCTTGTGGAGAAGTTATCTTTGCCTCAGAATGAGATTGTAGCTGATACTACTCTACCCAAAGCCCCTGTCTCCTCCATTGAGAGTGCCGTGCAGTCTGATACTCCCACACCGCCTCCTTCCCAGCCCTTAAATGAGATTGTAGAAGAAGAAAGTCGAATCAGCAGTTCTCCCACACCTGTGGAGAACAGCCTGGACCAGACTGTGGAGCCAAGTGAAGACCACAGTGAGGGGCAGAGTGATAGGGGCAGCGAAGACCTCGGCGATGCTGTTTGTGAAGAGCCTCCCCAGGAGACAAGTGAGGGGCAGAGTGAGGCCAGCCTTCCAGAGGACCCGCAAAACCACTCACCCCTCTCCTAGTGCCATGACTTCAGGGGACTCTTCTTTAACTGCATGTGATTTTGTGATGGAGTTCAGATACCAGGATGGGAAGTGATGGAGGATCACCTTTGATCAAGACTTACAGTTTCCACGTTGATTGTTTTCAACAGTCTATCTTCCGTCTCAGATGCAGTCTCTCTAAAGGGTCAGTTTGTTGTGGGTTGAAAATTAACCAAAGTAAATAGTAGAAGAAGACTGAAACATTGTGTCTCAGAAATGACTGTGTATGTATGATGCTGTAGATCCTGGAAGCGAGGGCAGCAGTCGTGTTGACATCACATCAGCAAGCCCCTTGTTATCTGAACGCACTTTGTCAGGAACACCCAGCAGCATCACAGACTCTGCTGCTCCTCTGCTAATGCAGGCTGCGTGCGCTGCTGCTTTATTCTGATGCAGAAAGAGAAACCAGAAAAAACAAAAAAATGTGCTCTTATTGAGGTATTCTCCAGTCCCAAGTGTCTCATGGAAAGTTTTTCAATTAAGAAAAACGTCAGTATTGCCATGTGCAGTCGCGTTGCCTTCTTGAATAATAATGCCATTTTCTTACACTGCTGGTAGACATCCAGATGTGCTTGCTAGACTCCAGTCAGAATGAGGAACATCCCTTCCTTTCTTAGGTGCAGATCTGCTTCAGCCCAGGACTAAGAACATACTGATTTGTTCAAGAGCTTTATGTATATCAAACCTTGAATACTCAGAAATCCTGGGTTTCTCCAGGGATTCCTTTACCAGCCTAAACACTTTGAAATGTTTTGGCATTCAGGTGAATGGAAGGGGAAAACCACATGCCTATAAAACTAAGCTGTAATAATTACCAGGCTAATTTTGATTTAGCCTTCATCATAATTTATCCCCTCATTAATAGGAGAAATACAAGTTTAAAAGATTGAATTGGTGCTTGAAATTCATTGGTTTAGTTATCCTTTTTATACAGTTTTATTATATATAAGGGAAAAGATACTCAACAAACTGCAAATTCTTTTTTACAGAAGTGTGATTATCAGTCACAGTGATTTAAATTTTTTTGTTTTTTTTTGTTGTTGTTGTTAATTGCATGCTTAACAGACTTGTTCTAGATCATTTTCTCTGGTGGAGTTGTCCTAAGCTTTGTGATTCTAATGTGGCTAGCCTCTACTATTTTGGGCAGTGCATGTATGATTCTACATTGAAAGTTGTTGGGGTTTTTTTAAGTTTGTCAGACGACTTATATTTTTCTTAAGTACGTATTTCCTACTTTAAAAGTAATTACTGACAAATATGCATTTCTTATCTGTTTATACTTTGAATATAAAATGATTTTTGTTTTGATTTACTTTTTAACTTGCTGTATTGTTTTGATGTTCTTTGTTGTTATTGTTTTGGTCGGATCATGTTTAGAAACTTTGGTTGCGTTCAGAAGTCTTAAGTATGCAAGTGTTTACGTGATTGTGCCATTCCAAAGTGCGTCAGAACTGTCATTCCCTTCTAGTATCTTCTCAGGAGTAATACAAATCAGGTAGTTCATCATTATTTGGTATATTAAAACTCCAGCAAACTCCCCAGGACACTTAACAACAGTTATCTCCACATGCTGTATGTAAGGGTGTGAGTATGTGTGAAGGTGTGTGTGTATCACGTATCCTGTGTCTGTGTGCGTATCTCCATGTAAGAAGATATGCACATCGAAAATATTCTGTGTAGTTCTTTGTATAGATTCATGTCCTTGTAGAGCTCCTTCATTTTGTTTACAACTGTTCAAAAGAAAAAAACCTCAAAGTAGTTCTCTTCAAATGAAGAGATAGAGATTCCAAGCAACCCATCTGTCTTTCGTCCGTTCTGTGTATAGTCACTAGAGAACACCGGTAAGTATCAGGCATGTATGTATTTGCCTATTAGCAATGGTGATGAAATCATGAAGTCTTTACATGCTGTTCCTTGCAAGAAAAATACTGTAAGGTGAACAGGTAGTTCTAGAAGGACAAGCATTTTTTTAAGTCCTTGGGGGATACAGCTGTTCGTGACGAGCCGGGAGTTCCTTTGGAGTCATCAGTCACCCTTGGGGTTGCCATGTACAATGAGATTCATAATCATGATACTCTTGGGTGGTAGTTTCAAAAGACACTACTAATACGCAGAAAGCGTTCCAGCTACCTGTTGCTGGCAACTACTGTTAATGGTCAATTAAATCTGTGAGTAATAGTTGAAAGTGGATGAAATTGTAGATGTTTTTAGAAAAACTTGTGAATGAAAATGAATCCAAGTGTTTCATGTGAGGACGTTGAGCCATTTCTATCATGCATTCCTGTCTCATGGCAGAAATTTTTGAAGATTAAAAAATAAAATGATCAAAATATTTTTTGTTGTTTTTGTCTTTCTTAATCCTTTTTTCCTTTAAATTGCTAGTTTCCGTAGCACTCCAGTTATCAGAAACCACAGCAGTTCAGAAGTTGGCTAGTGCCGCTGCTCGATACAGAACCCTACCTCATAATGCCAGAGGAAGTTCCCTCGGACCTACGCTTCCATTTCATTTATTTCGTGTCCACACTTTATTTAGTCTCTAACGTTTAACACTGGATAATCCTGGTGATCTTATTGCCTACCTGGCCCAGCTCCCTTGCCTGCCCTATCTCTCCAAGGTTAGTCTTTGCCGTTTACTTGAGCTCAGAAGGACAATGCATTCTCTGCTTTCTCCCATGCCACTTGGTAACACAGATCCCCCATATGGCATGACCATACATTGACTGCTACAAAGTCTTCTTGATGAAGATTTCATAATTTGATAGCATTCCTTATTTTCCCTAATTTGATAATAATGGACATGAGGGCTTTTCGATTTGATCTCTAGTGACTGCATCACACAGCTGTTTAGAAACAATTGTTGTTAAGTGCTGTTGAGTCAATTCTGACCCATAGTGACCCTATATAGGGTTTCCAAGGAGCAGCTAGTGAGCTTGAACCACCAACCTTGCAGATCAAATGGCTTTACACTCTGGCGCATTCGCCCACAGCGCCACACCAGGACCCTTGTTGTTAAGTGCTGTCAAGTCAATTCTGACCCATAGTGACCCTGTAGAAGGTTTCAGAGAAGCTGAATCTGAGCCAGAATGGCTGACAGGTACCAGAACAAACCCACTAAACAATGTGAGGGAAATCAGGAAGAGGAGCTTGTTTGTGGGAAATAATGGTGAATTCGATATTGGACACACAAAAGTGTTTGGGGTTAACTTTCCAATGTACAGCTTGGAAGTGAAGTTGTCACAAGAGTAAGGACAGGGACATGTTTTTTAGGACCAAGAAGGGCAGGTGTGTGGGACAGAGAAGAGCTGCTGCGGAGGAGCAACTGCTGCAGTGGTGTGAGGAGGGTCACCCTCCTGATAAGGAAATGAGCTAAAGATTTAGGGACTGCCCTGCAGTCCTTTAGACAAAAACCAGCCCAACCCTTCAGGATTCTTCCACTACCCTAAGGCCATTTGTTATTTAGAAATACGGAGCAAGGAGAAAGGTAGTGACACATTTTAGAAAGGTGCTCAGGGCAAGCCTGAAGTAGTGGGGGTCACTGGCCACGGCGATGCTGCAAACCGGAGTCTTAAGGAACCAAGTGCTTTTCCTGAAAATAAATGCAGATCTCTGTAAAAGAGTACTCCTCATGGGCTCAGATAACGTTACAAATCTTTTATTGCCTGTTTTTTCCCTTTCCTAAGGAAACGTGTATTTCCTTACTAGATCCCTGCAGTAACCTTCAAAGTTCTGATCAAAAGAAGGTAAACTGCCATGGACAAGGACATAGCGATGGAGGGCTAGAGCTAAAAGCAAAGTGTCAAGCTGATATGAAGTGAGGGGAGATGCACAAGAACGCCCACCCAAACCTATACATAGTACCAATCCAACATAGCTTCAAGGACTTGGTAAGAACTGCACAAAAGAAAGATTAAAAAAAAAAAAAAAAAAGGGGGGGGGGAGGAGTTCTAATAAAGTAAGTGTAAATTGCTACAATTTGATGAACCTCACATACTTATTGATGTAGTAGATCAAAATACCAAATGAGAGGAAAGGAGTCTTCATATCAAGTATCAATCCAATCTCCTCTGTATACAGGGTTGATAGGGATGGGCAACTCAGACATTGGCTACCTAAAATGGGAAGGCTATATAGGCACAAAGTGACTGGTTTACAAATTTTTAAGAGGGAATTTAGTTTCAGAGTGAGGGGGGAAAGGTAGAATCCCCACTCAATAGTTTTCATCTTGTCTAGATGAGTCTGGTGAAAGGAGATGGTAATAAGGTTCTTAACCAATTCAAAAGGAGTATGGATAGTCTTTTGTGGCACAATAGCGAACAATTGTTATCAGAACTGTTTGTAAGGGCTGGAAATGTAAAGACAGATGTTTTGTAGCAAAGGGAGGGGAGTGATTAACCCTGCAGTCTAGAGTAGAGGTCCCTGAGACCTTCAAAGGAGAAGAGTGGAGAACAGAACCTTACCCAGAGGAGCAGTGATGCCAGGGATGGAGACAGAGACGGTGACATGGGGAGATGGAGCGGCTGGAGACTTTGGACCCAGAGAGGGAGAGGGGCTGTATGACGGGGACAGGATTGCACGGTTTAGCCTTTGGTCGATGGATGATGCATGGAAGGGATTGTAACCATGGCAAAGAAACGATATACGATGAGATCAACGTGAAGCTGATGTCTTCCCTTGTAAACTATCACGTAATTCACAATAAAGCATTACAAAAAAAAAAAAAAAGATTCTTAGATTCAATAGTAATTGTTACGACTACTTGCAACTGTCACAACAGTAAAGGTAGAAATTTTGTACCAAAAAGGGGGAGTAGTCAATCTTACATTCCAGGAACAGAGGACCCTACCTAGGACCATCAAGGGAGAAGAGCACGAGCAGAATGTGGGACCCTATCCAGAGAAGCAACAACACCAGAGATGAAGGCAGAGATGACATGGAGAGAGGGAGCAGCTGAGGAGAAAGGCTGTGTGCTGGTGCCCAGA